TAAATAAATGATAATTAAAATTTTTTAAGTAGTTCTGATTAGGTAGTCTTATTTGATAAAAAAATTTAATTATCATTAATATATTATTAAAAAAATATTACTTAAAAATACTATAAAAAGGTTAAACATTTTATATTTTAAAACAATAGGAAGGAACGTTCTTTCTTAATTTTTTTAAAATCTCTTTTAATATATTTTCTCTTTAATTACCTAAAATGTAAGTAGGAATATCGATTTTACTTTAAAATACCAATTAATTACAAAAGAAAAAAGATGGATAAGATATGAGAAATTAAAGTATATATCTTAAATATTACATTAATTAAACCACATGGTTTAAGTATAATAAAACCAATGCAATAGAAGACATGAAGCAAAGAAATTAACAACAAAAATAAACAACAGTACTCTCATAAACAATGTGATTGTGGGAAAATCGTGAACCTTGCGTGTTTAGGGTGCTCAAGCTTTTGCAATGTCTAGGATCGTTTCACGAGGATCGATTGCCTGCAGGCTGCAACTGCCACTTGCTATATTTTATCCCTTAATAAAAAAAGTTGCAATTTTACTCCCTTAATCACCGACCCACTTATAGTATGTCTAGGTTGAAGGGAGTAGAAGAAAGGAGAAAGTTTTTAGTCAATTAATTTAATTATAATGTTATTAAAATATTATAATTTGATTAATTAAATTTTTTTTTATTTTTATTTTTCTCAACTTAAATATACAATTAAGTATTCCATTTACAACATTTTTGTCACTTTCAATATCGATGAGAAGTACTCAATGCCTTTTAAATTATTAATATTTCATTGATCACATGATGATTTCTTTTTCTAGTGCATAGGATGATTGATTATATGAAAGCAGATAGAACTTCACTTTTCCCAAATTCCTTATTTAATTCAAAAATTGAATTTAAAATTTTAAATTATTAACCAATTGAGGTATCAAAATAATTAAGAATTAGTTGGTGACATTTAGGGGCATAATTAGTTCATTCCCTTTTTTTTTTTGTGGCAAACTGACAATTTTTTTTAGTCTAAAATTAAAATCTTTTTTTTTTGAATGATATTTTATGGTCTGTTTAGTATTCCTATAGAAATTTTTTTTTTTTTGAAAACTAAAAACAATAGTTTTGGTAAGTTGCAAAAACTAGATGAACAATTTTCAAATAAAAAAATGCACTTTTATAGTTTTGTACTTTTTTTTTTTTAACATTGATGGAGGGGTAGATCTTAATATCAAAGACCTACTACTTCTTTATTAATAGTTACAGGAAGATTGCCCTTAACTTCACTTGTTAAGATCCATCAATGGTTATGATGGGTTGCCTATAACTCCGTTTGAGTCCCATCCAACTCTCCTTGATTCCGTCTTTGGGGCTCGTATTTAACATCTTGTTTTTCATTGTAGTCACAAAATCTACAAAATTTATATTGATTTGAAAAATAAAAAATATAAATGTACGCTTGACTGTTAAAAATTATAGTCGCCTAAAGTGTGTGTAATTGTGGTGGGATCGGTCCAGGTCGGACCAGCTACATACTAAAGGTAGGCTTTAGCAACGGCCTAAGTTGGACCTTATTATTGTTATGTATATACTTTAATATTTATCCATGCCCAACGTCCACAAAGATTAATCTATATCCCTTCCCTCTTTTTTTCTTTATTTTAGTATCATTGTTAGGAATTACAGGATCACACTTAGTTTACCTTTCTCTTTACAACAATTTGATCATATTAAAACCAAAAATTGATCCCAATTACCTATCATATTGCTACCACTTGCACATATATAACTAAATTGAGTCAAAATTAAGAGTGATTTAGTTTAACTGTATTTCTTTTTAGAAATACTGTTTGAGTAGATTTTTCATAAAGGTGTTAAATTATAAATTAATATAAAATAGACTAATAATAAGAATATTAAAAATTGATAAAAACAGAAAATTCAAAACCTTAGTAGCAATAATTCAGCTCCAAAAGTTATATGTTTGTAGTTTCACTCGTAACTTTTCAAGAGCTGAAAACAAATTTCATAGAAATCAAAATTACATTTAAAAAAGAAATGTCAACTCAACTTTAACTCTTTTATAACAAAGAAGAAAATAATAGAACTAATTTTTTCGGCCTTCAAAAAAAGAACTAATTCAATAATGCTTTATTGTGCTCAAATGGTCTCGCTGGCCCAAAAAAAAAAGCTACAATGGTCTCAAAGCCCATGGTATCTACCATAATTGGTCAATAGATCTAGGCCCGTCAGATTATGAGTTATGGGGTAAAGCAAACACTTTCGGCCCTATTATTTTTGCCCCTCAGTTTGTTGAATTTACAGAAGCCCATTATTATTCACAAAAGACAAAGAAAGAAAATAATATCCAATCCGTTTTTTGAATTTTTTTCTGCTAGTCCATCGCAGCCACGTGACAAAACCAGCGCCAATCCCCATAAATATCGAGTTCATTTTCTCTCTCCAAAACAACGTATACCTATAAAATACCGGAGTCGATACGGGAATCGATGAAGTTTAAAGATGGGTTAGAAGATATAGTTTTGAGTGCGGAGGATTTGGAGGGTTCATCCCGTGGTGGGAGCAGTTCCCGAAACGTTGGGTTATCGTGATTTTGTTGTGATAGAGTAAGCTTCCGCTACATTTTTCTTCTTAATTTAGGTTCCCATGAAGGAATTTGTTAATTCTTCTTTTTATCAAATTTGAATTGATTTTGTTTTGCAGGTAAATATGAGCATTGCCATACTGCCCATGTCAGCAGAGTTCAGTTGGAGTCCAACGACTGTTGGTTTGATACAGTCATCTTTCTTCTGGGGTTACGTTCTTACTCAGGTAATTCAATGTTTTCTTTTAAGATCACTTCCAGTTCTTATCTGAATGAGTAGACTGTGGCATATGGGCTGACACGGTGGGTGAGAAGTCAGTCCTGGCATTTGGCGTAGTTTGGTGGTCTGTTGCTACTGTTCTTACTCCTGTTGCTGCCAAAATTGGGTTGCCATTCCTACTTCTTGTTCGTGCTTTCATGGGAATGAGTGAGGTTGGTTCTTTAATTTTCTGGCAACCATACCTTCAGTTTTCTGTGATTATGTTATTTCAAAAGTTCCATGGTAAAACCTGTTTCCAAGAGAAGATGGTAACTATTATTTAGTTTTTTCAGACTTTGTATTGACCTGATCCCCATGGTATGTAATTGAAGGTTTGTTTTTGTTTCAGGGTGTTGCTATGCCTGCCATGAATAATATTCTGTCAAAATGGGTTCCCATAGCCGAAAGAAGCGGATCATTAGCTCTAGTATACAGTGGGATGTATCTTGGCTCAGTTACTGGTCTGGCCTTTTTACCTTTCTTAATACATAAGTTTGGATGGCCATCAGTCTTCTTCTCCTTTGGTTCTCTGGGAACAGTCTGGTTTGGTGTAAGGCTAAACAAGGTAACCATTATTCAACATGGTAATCTATAGTATACATGTTACTTTTGCAGAATTTTGACTTTACTGAAATTGTAATAGAAGTTCACATCATGCGCATAACATGTTTGATCGACCGCAAATACTATAGTTGTAGGATACTTTCAGTTATTTGTTACTGTTGTGAGACCTTCTGACATAAGTGTTTAGTCTGTTATTATATTTTCTCTTCTTTGTTTAGGCACATTGTACACTTTTGGAAGTTCCTGAACTGAGGCCTCAAGAGAAGAAGCTTAGTGTTATAAAATGTGTTTCCAAGGAACCTGTCAAAACAATCCCCTGGAGATTGATCTTGTCAAAACCACCTGTGTGGGCCCTGATTGTGTCTCATTTCTGTCACAATTGGTGGACAGTTATTTTTCTAACATGGATGCCAATATGCTATCATCAAGTAAGACATTGGGTTCTTTTGAATTTGCAATCCATTTATTCTTGCAACTCTTGATTGTCCATGTGGTAAGGGGGACTTCAAGGCTCTGACAGATTATCTTGTCCTGTGTCATTTTCCTTTATGTTTGTAACATAATTGTACTAAAGCAACAAAGAAACTGGTTTCTGCTTTTAACTTTCAAAGCTGGAAGTGGTTTTGGGATTATGTAGTGATTCTTCTTTGAGCTATGTTTGAAAAAGAGAAATAGCTAGTTGCTTCTGATTGTGGTATTAATAGAGGTGCATTTTTTTTTTCCTTCTGTTAATAACACCACAGGTCCTGAAGTTCAATCTAACGGAATCTGGACACTTTTCTGTTTTGCCCTGCCTTACAATGGCTTTTTCTGCTAATGCAGGAGGGTGGATTGCAGATGCACTTGTGAGCAGAGGTTTATCTGTGACTACTGTCCGCAAGGTATCTTTAGTTTTCTCATAATATTTTGTTTTCCTTTCCCTT